TGCACCTTCATTTCTTTGTTCAGTGTTTCATTACTACAAAGACAATAGAGATCCCGTAACGCTGATCTTTGTTTGCTATCATATAATCCTACAAAAGCACATGCTAATATTGAGTATGGCCAAAGTTTCAAATAATGGAGTCAGCATGTGTACAAGAAATCCTCGTGAGCCAGAACCTCAAGCTTCAGGCTGCTATAAATAGCTCAGTTTCTGACAGTTTTTTTCTACTCTTGGCTTGAGATGATGCCAGTGAGAGGGGATGTCCTTAGTAGGGTCATCTCAGGCACATAGCTCTTGCTGTGAGCACAGCATCCCCATCCACCTGCTGCTTAAACCTTATGGTTCAAGGGAGGGTGGTCTCAAATATAGAAAAGATAAGATTGCTTCCTCTAGACATTTGATGAACTGGATCTGCACCAAGTATGAGAGATATAAAGGCTGTGAACATGTAAAGCTGCTGTAGTGAAGTCCAAGATTGAGGAGCTGAAAATGGGCATTGTAGGTTCCCTTTAGGCAAAAATAAACACAGAGAATGGGAACTTAAACCTTGACTTTTATTTTACATGAGAGCCTTAGGTCATTGAAACTAAAGCAGTGATATCATGTATCATATAAAAGTCTATATTGTTAAACTAAACAGTGTTGACAATGAGGTCTGCATATTTTCAAAGTACTGTTGTTGCAAAAATGGTTTAACCAGCTTCCTCTTGCCTTCATTATATTGGGTTTGGAAACAGAAGTGAAAGACAGATACCATCTTAATGAGTGGAAGCACAAGCTTTCTGTTTTTGGGTGAACTGAATATTTAAAAGCTACTTCTGTGCAAACTAAGCCTGATTTCCTCTGCTGATAAAAATGTTGTGGAGGGAATGCAGCATAGAGGCCCAAGCTGTGGGTACATAAGAGTGACTGACTCAGCTGAGGTGAAAGTAATTTGATCAGAAGATATTTGTCCATTTCTTATCTGTGACACCTACACCTACGTCTGTCTGTGAGATAGTGTTTTCTTCAAGTAAGATTGCATTTCCATGTGTGTGGACATTAACAAAACACTAAAAGAACCGATGTGGATGTGGACCGATATTTTTGTCATCGTTACAAAGTGACAAGTGGTCTGATTTTTGTGCAATGGCCAGTGGCTGGGAGCACTTCCCCTCTGTCCTCTGTAATTTTGCTTGGCATTAATTGGCATGTTCCTATATAAACTCTGTATTCCGCCCACATGCCCTCAACTATTGTAATGTAAACTACAATTCTATTTCAGGGAGGAAAATTGGTCCCTTTGTGTTAGCTGAGGGAATTATGCAACAAGCTGCACCCGCTCGTCATTTTAATTGCCACTGTACACAGGAAAAGTTCGTCTTTTGCCAACCCCTAACTGCAAAGTAGCTTATTAATCCACAAATTAAAAAAAAATGCAAACAGTGAGATGTGTTTTATATGTGTGGGTAAGTGGCGAATTGCAGTGGAGCTGAATTCATTCAGAATTAATTTCATCTTCCTCCCTGAATATCACCGGATTTAACTGCAATCGGTTGTGCAGCAGGCTGAATTGTGAACACACAATCCAAGCTGGTGCAGCAGATTTTTCCCCCTTGCACTTCTCCCTAATTGTACAACAGGAATGTTGCTGATGTAATATTGTTTTGGTACACATGGAAAAGTGCATAGTTTGTAGCACAGATGTGTGTCTCTAAAAAAATGTTTTGCCATAGAACTGTATGTAAAGCTAGTCTTAATTAGCAGCAGACTTTGAAGTTCCCCACTGCTGGCTGCACAGACCTTAAAGTAGCCAAATTAATAGTGAGAATTAGCGCAGAGAGTCAAGAAAAAGTTTATGTGTAATCACACATGTAACAGCACAGCAAGGTTAGTTATCTGGAGAAAAATAAAATATGCCAACTTTTAAATGATATCTATTGTGTATGTGTATAGTGGAGGGGGGAGGGGGGGGTGCTTTATCCAATGAAAAACCAACTGTGCATCCAACCTCTTGAGTTTGTGAAGTGCTGTGGCACTCAACTGGAGTGTGATTCAGTTTTAATGAGATGGAGGTGAACAAGGAGCTGGCCAGCCTTCATAGAGTGGTTAAAAAACAAAAACAAAAAAATAAAAACAACGTTGATGCTTATTTTCTTTTAAAAAAAAATCTTGCTAAATTTAGCAGAAGAGATCCGGTTTATATAATCTATGCGAATCATCTTTTTTTTTTTTTCTTTTCGGTTTATCATTAAAAATGACATTGACACTATACAAGCTCAGCTCCACATGAATAAGTCACTTGACCTGTTTGAGAAGTTGATGCACCTTTTTATCCTTTAGTCCTGCAGAAAGAACAGTGGAAAATATTATCGTTATACATTTATTTATTTATTTATTTTTTTTTACAAATAGGAGCGACTCAAAATAATGACACCTCTTTCGCTGCTGTGGCTCCCTTCACTGTCTTGCAAACAAACGCTGTATGAAGCATCGTCAGGTTTCTGAGACGAGCACGGTGTCGACTCTCGCGCTCATTATCTCTGTGGAAGAGCTGAGAGTGGCTGTGCGTCTCTGAGCCGATGGGCTACGGCAGGATTTTCTCAGCGCCGCTTGTTTTGAAGTTAATTTGACGAACTTTCCGAAGAGAAACGACGCTCAATATGAAATGTAACGTTAAAAAAATGCGCGGTTATGATTTAATTTAGACTCACTTGCCTCTTAGTCCTGCTCGCTGTCAGAGACAAAGAGAAGCCCTTCTGCTGCGCTTGTGGATGGATATATGAGCACTTGGGCGGTAGTCTACGGGCTTGTAGTCACTGTGGCTGGCAGGCACAAGTTGGGGGGCACCGAAAGGAGTTTGTAAGACTTACCAATGTGAAGAACACTTCAGAACCAAGGACAGATCCAAACCGGTGCCTGGCAAAGATGCCCAAAGTGAACAACATCTGGAATCTGCTCGTCACATTAAGCTCTTCACGTTTCTAACGTACTGAAGCTCGGCTTGCGCAAAGAAACCCTTCAAATCCATTCGGGAAGAAACACCTAGTGCTACTAACAGGTAAGAAATGGTCCCTTCATAATTTTGATGTTATACTGACGGTGGGTTTAACACAGAAAATACTTTGTGTCTTTCCTATCTGACGTGATTTTGCATTTTTATTTTTATTTTTTTTGTTACAAAGTCGTCGCCCCCCCACCCCCCAGCATGTATCCCACAGCCACAACATTACTCCCAATAGGTCCGTTATTATAATACCTTATCAGCAGTTCATGATTTTCCCAGCATTTATCCCCATTCCCCCTCTCACAAGGCACATCTGATGCACCAAAGTCTATTTGTCAACACAAACCAAAAATAGCAGGAGGAGACTTTCTTTCACTTTATTGTCAGCCATCCCAATACCTGCGTGTTACTGTGGAGGTGCTAGCATTTCCCTGTATGAATATGTGAAGTTGTAATCCTGCTTGACCCGAGTGTATTCACTGTCTCAAATAAAAATTACATAATTGAGTGAGGCAGAGATTCCTCTAAAACCAATCAGGGCTTTTGTTTTTGGACAGTGCCGTAAACAATGTGATGGACCCTAATGTGGAAAGTAATTCAGCTGGTAAATGTATAGAGTCATTGCAAAATATGAAGAAAGTGTTTTTGCTTTGGAATCATCCACGTATCTCACGCATCACATTGTTATGACAGGAGTCAGACAGGAGTGATACGGTAGGATTTACCTCAAAGGTAAGTTATTTATTATGGGAGACACCACCACGGTGTCTTGATGGATGTTATGTATTTTATAATCAGATGGTGTCAGCATGCTCACCAACATGCTCACCAAGAGGAAACAAAGAAAATCTGCTCTAGCACATGTAATTCTTACATCTGCCCTTTGTCTCCCAGTCTAAGTGTGACCTATGAATAAACATACTTATAAGGCATTATTTTATTATTTTATTTTATTTTATAAAAATTAAATAACTGCACTATTTTTTTTCTGAAAAATATGCATTTATTTCACATTCAAAAACAATCAGCTGGCTGCTGGCCACCACAGAGGGATCCTAATTCCTTCAGCTGACAAGTCCAGGTGGAGGGATAAACTGGGTCCCCAGTGGAGATTATATAATGATGGGAATCATAAGATGAGCTATTGAGGTTGCAGTTTTCTCTTCTTTTTGTAGTTCATTTTCATACGTAGAGATCTGATGCTTTGAAGTGGATGATTTGTGTATTGTCTTCTGACTGAAACCTTCAGATTTTGACAGTTTATTATCTGATGTTATATAACACTGTAACCTCTAAACTTTAAACCTAAATTTAGTTTTTAATCAGATAAGCACAGAAAAGTAGTGTTTTAAATGTCATAGGACAAGTACGCTGTTTAGGCTGTCATACTCACCCGGCTTAATGATTCATGTGCAGTGGATCGGGCTCTAAATTAAATGTCATGTCGAGTACTTTTCAATAAAACTGCATGCAGACTGTGTCTACTCTTCAAATTTTGAGTTGTGTCACCATTTTAAACAATTAAAAATATAAATTATTGTTTTATAACAATTATTTTTCAGTCTGTACCTGATGATAACAAAAAAGGAGGTGGGTGCATTCATTTCTTCAGCTCATTCGCCAGACATAAATAACACTGTACTTCTGCGTAGATAATATGATTATACCTGCCAATCACCATCACTGCTGAAAGGAACTGGGTGGTGAGTCATTTTTTACACATTAGTTATACCGGGATAAGGAGTAAGGACAATAAGGAATAGTGTTCTCAAAGCCTCTTTATGCTAATGTTGGAGAAATCCTCTGTGCTGGGCAGGAGCAGTAATGCATTAGCTGATGGTTCAAAGCTGAGTAAAGCACGCCGTCTTTTCTTTTTGAACTTGCCTTTCAGAGGGAATATTGTGCGCAGACAGCTGCGGAGTGTGTGACTCTCTTGGCTGCTCAGTGTGAGTGTGACAGCCGTTTCAGGATAGTTTTAATGATGTGATCGAGGCCTGATAAAAGCTACTTTAGCAGATGTTGATGTTTTAATTCTCATGTAAGCTGATAATACTGCTCCCGTTTAAAGAATGTATGCAAATAATTGGAAGAAATTTGATTTTAATAGCTGTCCACTTCAGCCATGCCAGCATTTCTTTGCAGTTCTTAGAGGTTTTAGAAGAGCTTCTGCATCTCTAACCTCACTTTAGCTTAGTTTGTACTGACCAGCCTAATTGGCTGTTCCTTGTTGCACCATTAATTCATACCGGAAAGCCCACATCTGCTCAACAGACAGCACTGAAGACCAATTAGACTCTTAAAGTTGAGCTCTCCAAGTTGATTTTTTCACCTTGCTTCTAATAATAGGGCAAATGTGTTGCAGCAGTCCCATACACCTGCACGTAGTGTTCAAGACACACAGCAGACATGAGACAGAGGCTGTAACTTTGTATATTACCACATGTAATTTAGTTTGATGGGTACAGATTCATCAATGCACCATAAGATTTCCCCACCCATAATCTGATGTAATATTTATCTGGTAAGAAATTTGGCATTCATTACACTTTTTGCTCCTCATTTTCACTCAAGATGCTTGTGCTGTCACAGGATATTCCTCACAATATCCTGTGTGATTCACAGTATCCTGTGTATACTGAAGTGTTCAAAAGCATGCACGCACGCATGAACTTATGCTTGTGTCGCTGGTGTTTTTGTAACCAGTCCCTGTGAAACCCACTGTGACGGTTTTCTGCCTCTGTGAGCACAGGAAACAGGACACACTCAGACTTAATGAAACGACTGCTGATAGAACTGCCAATAAAAGAAGTGTAAATGCACGAGCATCTTTTTTTATACAGTATTATAATGTAAGTAACAACACTGTGTGACAGAAGGGGAAAAGTCAGTAATACGCTTCCCACTGTGTCTTAAAGGAGAACGTAGCGGCAGCACATCGCCTAGTCCAAACTGCTGCCAAGCTCTGTGGGTTTACCAGCGTGACTCCTCTGATAGCTCAACTTCTATTTAAAAAAGGAAAAACATACCCACAGACAATTTTTGTTGATATTATGTGCCATTGTTACATCTCTCAGAGCTTTATGTGAGTAATACTGCTGAAATTTAAGCTCTGATAAGAAATTCTGATAATATTTGCAGAAAAAGAAAAGTAAACCACAAGCCTTTAAAAATACAATCCACAGTATGAATCTACTTTAATCTATGTGTTTGTTCTGAACTATGCGTTTGATAAATGTGATTAATAATTGTGTTTGGAATAAATACGATTGGCTCTCTAAGAGCGCTGTGATTGAACCTGCCCACCTAATCAGACAACCCCCGTTGAGATCCAAACCTCTTACTTCAACATGATAGGAATTTATATTAGCATACATGTCTCTCTGCCCACTCCCCTGCAGTCCAACCCTTATTTTTTACCCACCATGTTTCCATGGCAACCACATCCATTGAGGAGAATCACCGTGTATGTGATATCTCCGTTGCCTGGAAATTATGCTTCAGTCAAGAGGTGCCTTAAATATCAATAAATGTTTGATGTGGTCACTTGAAGGTGGTAACACTGAGTCAGTCTTTCAGATAAAATTTTATTTATTTCACACTGGAATTGCTGAGACTCTGACTAAAATATTAAGGTCTTCTGTTTCACTTCAGAAAGTAAATTCTAATATTAATGGCCGTGTTTCAGCCTTCAGATAGAATTCTTAACCATTTCTCTGTAGTAATTCTATAGACTCTAAGTCAAGAAAGTCAAGAAAAAGCCTTGTAGTTCAGGTAAGAATCAGTTAAAAAGATAAGAGAGAAAAAGCATGACTGTTCATATCTTTGAGTAAACCTGTGAGCAAAAAAGTGACCAATAGGCCTCTGACCCATATTTAGTTCAAGAATTTCATTGACATTGGGCAAGGACGTTACATTTTACTCCACAGGAATAGGATACAAATGTAATAGATAGATAGATAGATAGATAGATAGATAGATAGATAGATAGATAGATAGATAGATAGATAGATAGATAGATAGATAGATA